GCATGTCCATGTTGTTTACATTTTTTTAACGAAACTTGAATGAACATTCTAACAAAATAGATTGAAACTTGTAACATAAGTAACAAAACTATATGAAAATAACAATAAAACTATGTGAACAGAAAAAGAAAGTTATAGGAAGAATATTATTATAATATAACACTACGAAATAACCATTAAATATTTTGTTTTTAAATTTTATTTATAAAAATGAGGCCGGGGAATCGAACCTATTTCTGCTGGGTGACGGTCTGAGATACTGACCACTACTCTACCAAGGAGATGTGTATAAACGAACTTTGTACTTTATATTCATTAATTAATTTATCACATTCTGTGAATAACGTTTAGCGTTATCGGCAGACCGAAATCTGTGAATAACGGCGAGCGTTATCCGCACAGCTCTGTGAATAATCACTTCTTTGACTTCGTTTTCGGAATCAAAACCGATTTGTGGCCGATTGGCCGAGCCACACTCAGGTCACTAAAGAGCCACGATTTGCCGACCACTGAAAAAAGACTGAGCTAAATAAATTAATGAAATTAATCTTAATCAAAAAGTTAATAGTTAATCTTAATTAATTTAATCGTGCATTTCTTTTCTAATTTAGTCTAAACTAGGTCTCTCGGACTAGGGCAAATGAATATGTCTATTCAGAGGCCGTAGCATTCCATGTTGTTAAAAAATATCTAAAGTAGTAATAAATATTTACTATTAGCCGCAATATGATTTCATAGCTGCATAAGGTAAGCAGTGGTTTGCCTCACCATTTGTCAATAAACCCAAAGTCTCATCAATACTGCTGTGACTGCTGTGACTGCTATGACACTGGGCGTGTTCCTATTTACTTCCGGGGGTCGATTGATCGAAGGTGTCACACTCCGACAACCTAAAAAAAAAACTAAAATATCCAAGAGACCAATTAGTCGCTGACGGGTTGGAAAAAGAGAATTTGGTAATTTCGTTTTATAGCTAAAAATTCATCAAAAAGCAGAAGATTGTAAAAAGTTTTCGTGTTGCGTACACGTACAGCAGAAAATTCTGACACAGCAAAACACCGGTAACTTACTTATTTAGAGTGTTTTACAGGAACACCAAACACGAAACCAAGAAAAATCCGCCCGTTGCCTTTATTTAGGCCATCTTCTCCCTTGTATGTGTGTAGCAGTGTAGCATCTTCTTTGTGGGGCATTTAATGCAAAAGATAATTCAATAATAATATGATTATGATACTTTTTAACATTAAACTAATTTAAAAATGAATAGAAGTTAACTATTAAAAATAGGCACGATGAAATATTCAATGTAATTTTTTTGAAAATATTAATTTAAATTTAATCTGCTTTCCGAAACCGCAGGGGAAACTCGTCGCATAAGAATGTTTATGTTCAGTTACCTGCCCAATTCTAATTTTAACTGGTCCGGTAAGGTAGTGTCAAGTAAAGTTACTCTGTGCAAAATGATTGACTAGTTTATTTACTTTATTTCAGTTATTTCCCTTGGCATATAGAACAAAAAAAAAAGTTTTCTCTTAGTATTAGCACAGCGTAAAAATATTAGACCTACAAATATCTTTAAAAAGGAGTAGCATGGTATTTCTTATTCACTTTTCGCCATTTTAGCATTTTATCACCGATTTACAATTTTCAAAAGTACCCAAAATTCTAGCACGAAATATAGGCCCTAATATTCAGTTCATATCCTCCTTTTTAAATGACGAAAATGAAAACACTTTTAGTTTAGAGGGGCTAAGGGGTACACACAAAGGACGCTATGGGCTTAACAAAAATTTAAATATTTGAAAAGGCAACGTCGTTATAAAAAGAAAAAAAAAGCTTTAAACTTTTAAAGATTTGCCTTAATGCTAGCTGGTGCTTTTCTACGTACACCCGATAGAATAATTAATCTGAAATCCCAAGAAGCAAGGACGTCAACTCCTGCCAACAAGTTGACACGAGGTTACCCTTGAGTTGTGACTAGGATACAGATGGGCAGCTTACATAGACCGTTACTGGCATCACAGAGACAAGGGAAGGGGTGAGGGGGTGAACACTGCGGTTCTCAAACTGAGGAATGTGTGTAAATACGTGAGTTTGCTATCGTGGGGAAACACAATGTTGAATACATTTTTATTAAACAATGCAGCCCATTTAACTTATCTTGTGTTGTTTTTTAAATAATCTTTTTTTTTAAATTATCAATTTATTTTTCTTTAAATAATTTTTTGTTTGTATTCAAATTTCACAATTCGCTTATGTTCGATTGCATATAAAACCTTTCATTTTTTTAAATTTGTGTCCATTTTTTCTATGATACATTTTAGTAAAATAGTATGATTTTTTTTAAATTTTAAATTCAGCTATAGTCTCTAGGGCCTATTATTTTTATTTTCAAGTAAAGAAATAAAGTTGAACGCGTTTATCAAAACATATTACAGATAGCAGAATAATCAAGGAAATGTTGTTTTTTTTTGTTAATGTCCTACACATTTGGTCGATACACGACATGTGTACGCAGTGTGAGCATGAGCAGCACACGTGTTTGTCTTCTCATTACATTTTTTAGAACCTCTGAAGTCATGAGGATCTTTAGCTCCGCCTGACCTGGTCCCCCATCCTTAGCTTCATGCCTCATATATGGTAATACTGTTAAATATCACGCCCCCCCCCCAACCCAACCAACCACACACACACAAACAACATCGACATGTTCCAGATAAAGATGATTGACCTAAATTAATGATGTTTTGGATAGCGAAATAGAAGAAGAACAAAATATACAATCAGACATCAATAACACTTGGCTTTAAAAAAAAAAGAAAGAAAAATTACGTTCATCAACGTCCTGTGCTCGCTTCTTTTGTTCTGAGTTAAAGATACACCAAGCGTCTCATGATGATAAACAAGGGTGTTATCTGAGTTCACTGCTGGTCACGTTGGAGTGAACCATCCACATAGACGCTGTGTGTGTGTGTGTGTTGCTCAAATCTCTACCGGTTATCTCATCGCTCTGTGTTGTCAATGAAAAAGTGTCTATAACGAATCAACTGGTGTATAAGGCAGTGGTGGTGGTGTTGTTATTTTTTTCTCTTGTTCAAGGATTCTATGTTGGGGATCAAGAAATGGTACAGTGAGATTAACAAACCATTTTTTTTTGTTGTTGTTGTTGTTTGAAATAACTGCATCAAGTATATAATGTGAAATTTCAGCCCATTTTTTGTGTGGCTTAGTGTGGCCTATAAGTTTCCGATTTTTTGTGAGGTTCCAGCAATGTATTCATCAGAGATTAAGGACAATGTACCAATGTAGAAACACGCCCCGGTGAAAAGTGGGGACATGTTCATAGTTAATATCTACGAAGTACATACGTATTCTTGTGTGCTAAAGACTGGTTGTTTGTTTTTTTGTCAAAGGAATTCTCTATAATTGTTTTAAATCATGCACCTAAATGCTGTTTGATCATTTCCGGGGTTTAAAAAAAAAAGGGGGGGGGGAGGGGTGTGCGGTGGTTAAGGGTGGTGGGATCGTTGCCTCCCCTTTCCCAATGTGTAGCTTCACCTCTGAATATTTGTTCAAGACTTTGTCCAACAGGAGATGAAGAGACATAAAGCGGCTGTGGATATAATCTATATAGGTTTATTTTATCTTTTGCTGGAATTAGAACTTGGTACATAAATCAAAGGTCCCAAACCCGTGACGTGTGGGGCAAGTAAAAAAAAAAAAAATTGCCAGTTCTTTAGAGAGACCCTGAAATTCAGCTAAAATTGTTTTCTTGAAACTCTTAAGATATAATGCCTTGGCTCTATAGAGCAGGCCTGCACAACTCAAAATGTAAGGCGGGACGTAATACTTTATGAAAAACTTGTGCTGGCCGAAATATAATAGGACAGGTGGGGATGAGGCTATTAAGAAAATAATAATAATGAAGAATATTTCATTGCTTCGCGAGCGGTCAAGTGGGTGCTGACTGGCCGTATGTTGTGCAGGCCTGCTATAGATAGCTGTGTATTTTGACCGTTTATGTCACAGCATCTGCATTGCAGCCCTTATAAGAAACAAAATGTTGGGGAACGTCACTACTTTTTCTTTCCTTTCATGTGTCAATGTATGTAAAACTTTGTGACCGCCTCCCTACACCACCCACACACTTTTTTTTTTTCAGACACAGCCTCAGTTTTCACAGGAGCAAATCTCAGGTAGGCAAGACTCGGTTTAGACTTTAATTTACTTTCATAAACTTCATATAGCAACACGATTTGTTACTGTAAAACGAAAAAAATAAATGAATGTTATCATCACAATCGAAATTATAATCCTACCTTATCAATGAACCACAAATGCTCACTGATCGGTTGTGAACAGGAAGCATAGTTTCGTCTGAAGCTCATGGTCGCTATACGTGATGATTGGTTTCCCCCTCATCAAATTCTTTTACTGGTGCATACTTTGTAATCGCACCGAACTGAACACAATGCCCCCCCCCCCTTTTCTTTTCGTTTTGTTACAAGAGCAATGTTAACTTTAAACCAGAAACATGTATATCAGTCCGTACAAAGAATCAAACAAATTATGTGTAACGCAGCTCGCTATAAGTAGAAGAACACATACAACCTTCTCCCACAGTGCCCTCACACCAAATCACAAACAAACAAAAAAACACGTACACCGAAGACCAGACTACAGACTCTACGTCACAGATACAATATAATTGCGTCACAATGCGTCTCGCACCTAATTGCGCCGAAAGCGTTCATTACTTGAACTAACACACAAGACACACAATGAAACACAATATCGGGTGTTCGACGATTTTGCTAGTGAAATGATGATGAGGGGGGGGGGGGGAGAGAGACCAGTGAAAACCGATTTCTCGACACAATCACGAAGAAGGCGTGTGATCAAATATGCAATAGCAAGTGACATGCATCGCAATTCAGTGACAAAGAACACACATCTCAAACGAATCTCTGATGCGAAAGCTTTTCTTCCGGTCATGTAGTAGTCGCGTCAGTTGTATTAATGCGATAGGCTTGGTTCGTCTTACTTGAACTCTATCCAGGTATCACAATAAGCGCATAGCTTCCTGTGTCTGGTTTCAAGGCCGGAATATCTGAGCAAATGGATGCCATCATTAATTTTCGTGCCATTCTGTTACTCTGTGGGTTCTGTTTACTGTTTCTGTCAATGTTCCGGCGGCCGGGGCAAAAGTTCTTTTCGAGAGAATTGTTTTTTCTAGAAAGGGAACTAAGAGATCATGGTATTTTTCAAAATAATTTACTGGATTATCTCCCTGCACATAGAGCAAATTAGTTCGTTTATTTATCATAAGGCTAACAAAAAACCTAATTAAATGTATTTATTTTTAGTTATATCGTTACGTTATTTATATGTTTTGGGAAAACTGATTTCACTCACTGGTCAATTATTTTTTTTTTTAATGTGACAGAATTTTGACTTTAAAAAATCTAGAATTTTGATAAATTACTCAAAGTTATTTCTAATAAAACCATAAGGTTCTATTCAAATAAGAGTATTATATTCTTAATGATTCATTACCTCCACGATTTATTGCTATGCTTTGTTCATGAAGCAGTTTCATCATGCATTCTGACAACAATTAGACCCACTTAATGGTCAAAGGGTATGATTTCGTACCCTTATTTGTATTAATACCATGTTGTTTATCATAAGTGGGGAGATTTAGGTAATTATGAAGGATATTGTGAGTTTGTTGTGTTTTGTTTATGTTGTTTTTTGTTTTTTTTGGGGGGGGTGTTTGTTTTTTGGGTTAGATTTGTTCCTGAGATTGTGTAGGGGGCCGTCCATTAAGCACGTCACATTATTTTTTACCATTTTTAACCCCCCTGTCACAAACTGTCACAAATCTCGGAACCGCCCCCCCCCCCCCCTAAAGTACGTCACACTTTCGAAAAAAATTTTTAAAAAATTAACACCTAATTAAAATTTAATCTAAAACAAACTTCCCTATTAACTGTATTAAAATATAAAATTTCCACTTAAAAGAACTATCACATTATTAAAATGACGTTAATAGTAGAATAGTTAATTGTCAGCAGTTGTCACAGTTATTCATTGAAGCAGTAACTCGATTTAGATTGAATTTGAAAACAAAAATTGCAAAAATTAGAGTAGACAATTTTATAATGCACATCATTTATCTGCTGCTTTTTCATTTACAAAAGGTAAGGTCAAGTTTTAGATAATTTCCGACTATGCAATCTTTTTACACAGGATAAGAAGTAGACTAGCGAAACTTGACCTCACCCAGTGATTAAATAATAAAAAGGAAACAAAAAAATTTGACTAAAAAAAGATTAGATTGACAAATTTTGTGACAAACTCTTGTGCTATATTGAATCTGTTTATTATGGGCCTGTGAATTATGTTTAATTCAAAAATATTCACTGGACATCATCCATCATCCATCCATGGTGAAGTGAAATGTTCATCCATAGTTACGACTGGCATCAATCTTTCACCATCATCTCTTCTGGCCATAACTGCCATGATTTCTCTTTGCCTTCTAGCAGCAATTCTCAATAGACTGATGCATTTTATCTGAGTTGATTCTGGAACAGTTTGGGTTGGCACATTCTCCCGAGCCCGAGCTCTGTGTCGTCCTGCATGTTTCTTCGACATTGTTTGTGAGGCAAAGTATAAGTGACATACTTTTCAAATTCGATCACGTAAGCTGGTCTGCAAAGATGGACAATAAAGATCATATAGTTGTATTTTGAAAACTCCTGTTGATCTCGGCAAGGCTATACATAAAACAAGGCTTCACAACAGCATACTAGCGCTCTTAGCGAGTGTAATCGTGAACAACACATTCAGAAGATACGCATTTCGTGCTATTTTGATATAAAACTAATTCAAATGTTTCACAAAATTTGTGAAAATTATTTTTAAAGCTTTTTAATTCTACTAAAAAATAAAAATAATAAATAAGGAATAAAATGTAAAAAAATAAATGTGTGACGTCACACATGACCTGACCCCCCGACCCCCTGTCACAAACTGTCACACTTTCTTTCACCCCTCCCCCCCCCTCTGGAGCGTGACGTACTTTATGGACGGCGCCTAGCGTGAAAGAAACACATTTCGGGCTATTGGAAATGCCAGGATCCGAGGAAAGTGTTTGGGATGTGAAAAGGTTTAAGTGGCCAGGCAGAAGAGGCGGTGGCTCACGTGTTGGTTACCTGTCCCAGTGGTGGGAAGGGGGGAGGGGGCAGAGGGTCGACACCCAGAGGCCTGCCTTGAATATATGATTCACGGCGATGCCCACCGGATGAGGCAAGCCGCCAAATTAATAACCAGGGCTATAAGAGTGAATCTCAGCCCATAAAAGTATTAAACATTATTTGTTTGCGTTCCGTCGTTAAATCACCGGGGCACAACTTAAAACATCAGTCAGAAGACGGGCGCACCACGGTGCTGCCCTTCTCTGGGACGTCCGGCTCTGTGTCTGCTCATAAAAATGGGATGTGGCCCTGGATCTCGATATTCCCCGGACTGCTCTCAAAGGTTCTTGAGAGTAAATACCACCGAAGCCAGCGCCTTGGCTAGTATTAATTTATATCGGATGAAATGCTACAGAAATAAACTAACAATCATAAAGTGATTAAAATACTTCAGACCAATGCAAACCAAGTTGTTTTCTTTTTTAAATATTATTTTAAATTAATTCATTGGTTTTTATTTTATTATTCTTTTTTAATATCATTTTAGCTTATTTTTTTATTATTTTTTTTTTAACATTTTAACTGTTTGACTATTTAAGTGTTTAATTTAATTTGTAAAATATAATTAACATTTTAACTTGATGTGTTGTTGTTTTTTTTTTGTGTGGATATTTTAATTCTTTCAATATTTAAGTTTTATATATTTTTTTAAAATATCATTTTAAGTTGTGTTGGTTTTTTTTTTTACCTTTTAACTATTTCACTCTTAAAATATTTAATGGATCAGTAACAGCATACTTCAGTTTTTTATGATTATTTCCGGTGAAATCTTTGTGGTTTTCTTCTAAAGGGCGTTACTACAGGCTTTTTTTTTTTTGCATAGAATTCTAAAAATTCAGCATCGAATCTGGTCGAAATAATTAATCAAAGGGGCTCACGATCTCCTCAGATTTCCAGGAAGCTTTCGGCCTCTTCGACAAGGACAGCGATGGTCTCATCTCTACAGCAGACGTGGGGGTGGTGATCCGGTCACTAGGGGGCGTCATCACAGATGGGGAGATCAGTAGCATGGTCAGACAGTTTGACCATAGTGAGTTGATCCCTTAATTGATTTTTATTTATTTCATTAATTTATATTTACTTAATTGTAATCGTTTTATTTTTTAAATTTGAGAAGGAAAAAAAAGTGGGGGGGGGGGGGGGTTCTCTCTTTTTTTTTGAAAATTTTAAAAAAAAGTAACGTAAAAAAAAAAAAAAATATAGAAAAAAAAAACATCAATTGATATATTTTAAAAGTTATTGGCATTGTGATTAAGATGAAATTTTATATTATATAAAGATCTCTATAAACGTTATACTATATAAAGATTGGTTGCATTATATATATCCAGATACACGCTTCTCTTTCGCTGACATAATCATTCTATAGAATGTCGAATGTATTTATTCACCCTTTCACTGAAATCGTCAGGCAATCTATACGGTGCCCTGTCAGGCGTTTAATACAATGCCCAGACAGGCGTTCTATATAATGCCAAGGCAGGCGTTGTATGTTATGCCCAGGCATGCGTTCTATATAATGCCCAGGCTTTCTATACAATCAATGCCCAGGCATAATATAGAATGATTGGATTTCACACTTTGCCCGTAACAACTACACTATTTCAGAGAACGGTTTGATTGACTTTGCCGATTTTTTGGCTTTGATGGCTACCATAATGGGCAAGAAGGAATCACCTGACGAACTCCTGCAAGCTTTTCAGGTAAGACTAAAACCCTTTTCAGGTTAAACTAACAACCTTTTTCAAGTAAGACTAACAACCTTTTCAGGTTAAACTAAAAACCTTTTTCAAGTAAGACTAACAACCTTTTCAGGTTAAACTAACAATCCTTTTCAAGTAAAACTAACAACTTTCTCATGTAAAACTAACAACCTTTTCATGTAAAACTAACAAGCCTTGCGGGTAAGTCTAACACATTTTCTCAGATAACACTGACATACTTTTCAACAAAGACGAACAAACCTTTCTTCCGGTAAAAAACTTTATTATGTTCGTTTTTGTTTTAATAAGGCATTCTTCAATTGTATTGATTGGTTGCTTTAAACGTGTAGGGCTTCAATCAGACATGCATCCATCCATGTGAAGCTACAAACCATGTAGGGCTTGGGCCTCCAATCAGACATGCTTCCATCCATGTGAAGCTACAAACCATGTAGGGCTTGGGCCTCCAATCAGACATGCATCCATCCATGTGAAGCTACAAACCATGTAGGGCTTGGGCCTCCAATCAGACATGCTTCCATCCATGTGAAGCTACAAACCATGTAGGGCTTGGGCCTCCAATCAGACATGCATCCATCCATGTGAAGCTACAAACCATGTAGGGCTTGGGCCTTAAATTATACTAAATTCCAGTTTAATTTTTATCATTATTGACAAACGTTCTGCGTTTAATATATCTAGTGCGTTTAATCTATCTAAAACTGGACATCGGTGACAATTTTTCAACCGTCCATAAAATTAAGGACGGTCCGTAAAATTTCTATTTACAACTACCTGCTCGTTGTAGTCCGTTAAAAATGAGACTTTTTTTATACTTAAATACTGTTGAAGCAAATAGTGTTGTTGGTTTCTTCTTCCTTGCTTAACACTTGCTAAATCTTAGGTCATGAGCCGAATAAAATAAACACTGTTCAGAATACCATACAATAATCATTAATTTTGCGTCACATCATATTAGTTTATTTCATATTATTTCGCACCATTGACATTATTTGATATTACAAACAGTGGCGTAGCACGGGAAGTGCCGCCCGGGTACCACCAAGATTTTTTGCCCCCCCCTCCCCCCCCCCAACACCTCCACAAACAAATAACTCTGCGGTTGGCTAAAAAAAAACGTCCTTCCTTAATATACAGAAAAAAATGCTTTAGCCCGGGATGATCAGAGGCGTACCCCTCTCCCTCCGACTCACCTTCCCTCTGACTCACCTTCCCTCCGACCAACCTTCCCTCTGACCCACCTTCCCTCCGACCCACCTTCCCTCCGATCCACCTTCCCTCTGACCCACCTTCCCTCTGACCCACCTTCCCTCCGACCCACCTTCCCTCCGATCCACCTTCCCTCTGACCCACCTTCCCTCTGACCCACCTTCCCTCCGACCCACCTTCCCTCCGACCCACCTTCCCTCCGACCCACCTTCCCTCCGACCCACCTTCCCTCCGACCCACCTTCCCTCCGACCCACCTTCCCTCCGACCCACCTTCCCTACGCCAGTGCATACATACATAGCCGAAGCCCACGATTAGTTTAACCGTTTTATGATTTATAGTTCAAACAAAGTTATATTCACAAAGTTCCCGTAAAAAAAGAGGAGGTTTTTCAATAAATAAATGGCAAACCGGCAAGTCGACGCACTCGTCATGACGTAACATGCTACGCCAACAGAGCATCGTCACGACGTAACATGCTACGCCAACAGAGTTAAGCTGTTTTGGTTTCATCTAGCCAGATGACATGCATGTGTGATGTTATGCTTTTTAGTTTCATCTAGGCAGAAGACATGCAGGCCTAATGTTATGCTGTTTGGTTTCATCTAGGCAGAAGAAATGGGAGGCCTAATGGTATGCTGTTTGGTTTCAGGTATTTGACAGAGACGGAAATGGCTTCATCTCATCGGCTGAGCTACGTCACGTGATGACCAACCTGGGCGAGAAACTGAGTGACGAGGATGTGGAGGAGATGATCAGGGAGGCTGATACAGATGGCACAGGGAGGATTGATTATACAGGTAGTCAGATGGCGTGGGGAGGATTAATTATACAGGGGGCATAAGCTTTTTTTTCACAGGTGGGTCAGATTTCTGGCACAGATGGGTCAGCTTTTTTTGCACAGGTGGGTCAGCTTTGATGCACATGTGGGTCAGCTTTGTTTCACAGGTGGGCCAGAGATTTTACAGTTGCAGCGGGCCATTTCTGACACGCAAGTTCCATACATAAAGCGGATATGCGGCTAGCGTGGGTCTCTTGTTGAAGCGTAGTCAAGGGATGTTAAGATTTGATGTGTGACAGTCGGGATATGATTAAAAAGGAAATACTTGTGTTCAGAGTTATGTGTCATTTAAGTGTACTGAATACGTGTTTGTTGATGGTGAGCTTCGTGCATCCTCTTAGGTCTTAGGTAATGATTATATCCTACCCAGTTAGTTGTAGACTTTGTCCAGCACGCTTCGTCCTGAACCGCTACAGGAATACCTCTAGTGTCGGCAGCATGCTGGAAACGCTGGGCTGGTCATCATTGGAGGAACGACGACGACTATCCAGGCTCTCCATGATGTACAAGATAAACTGCTGATCCACTGCTCCAGCATTAAACATGTAGAAACTCGTCCCTCTCCCCCATAGACAGCGACGAGGCAATGACAGGCAGTTCCAGCTCATACTAGCGGGAAGCTAGCATCGGAACTGCTCATTCCTGCCAAAAATAATCAGGGACTTGAAAAGCTTTCAAAGGGAACAACACTTGACACATTTGCGTCTATTGCCTCAGGCCTTCCAACCCCAGTGCATGATACCCTCACTAAGTAGCCCTTGCAATCAGTGAAATATCCTCATCAACACCAGGCACGGAAACATTGGAAATCCCCTCTACGCGCATACGAGCCAAAATGATCAATAAATTGATTCTGGGCCCTTAATATACAGAAGAAGAAGAAGAAAATTATCAATATGTCGAAATGAATACTATCAAAAGTGTCAGTTTATCAAAATGATCAGTATATTAAAATGACTAATATATCAAAATAAAAAAGATATCAAAATGTCAAATACATCAAAAAGACACATACCTTTATAGAAAAATGATCAATATATCAAACTCTAACATGTTTATATCATGAGTACCAATTTTACTTTATTCTTTTTGCATTTTTTAATTATTTTTTGTTGTGCCCCACCCCCCCCCCCTTGTTTTTTTCTATTCTTCAGAATTCGTAAAAATGATAACCAGCTGATGAACCACCATCTTGTTTCTTCAAGATAACTGCAGGCCTTATTATTCCCCGCTTTTTTTCTACATATTTTTAGTACTGACAATGTGCTGTTGTGATTGGTTAAATTTGTATGGAGAAAACAGAAAATACTCAAGCTATTAATGACATTTTAATGATTTTTTTTAATTAAAAAATTATTTATTTACACCTGAACATAGTTTGTCTTTTTTTTTTTTTTTAACGTTAAGGAACTCTTACAATAAGCTTCATTGCAGTGGTCTGCTGGGTCCAGAGAGTAAATTACGAAAGTACCGGAAGGCAACGTTCAATAATCAGGATATGACGTCATTTTAAATCTTCTAGCTTTCTTTAAGCAATATGTTTTTCTGTAATCCATTGAAATAGGATTGTTTGGTATTTGGGAGGGTGGATTACGGGATGGGGAGAGTGTGGAGGATAGTGGGGTCAGTGGCTTGTGGTACGAATCTTCCAATGCCCCCCTCCTTTACCACCTATAGATAGAATGACAAAGCCATGGGAAAGGTTCGGACAAAGTAGACGCGAAGTAACAGGGTATTTATCTATGTGGCCCAGTGCAAAATTTATAATTATTTTTTTTTAATTATCTTATTGATCTCTATTTAACTTCACATAGAATTGACATTTTGTTACCCGTGTGTATGAAGCCCCGGTAAGTAGAACAAGACAAAATTAAGTCCTCGGCAATACTTATGTAGAAGAAGACAAAACTGAGTGCTCGGCAACACTTTTTTTGGAGAAGAAGACAAAATTGAGTCCTCGGCAATACTTAAGTAGAAGAAGACAAAATTGAGTCCTCAGCAATACTTATGTGAGAAGAAGACAAAATTGAGTCCTCAGCAATACTTATGTGAGAAGAAGACAAAATTGAGTCCCGGCAACACTCGTGATACTTGAAACTCTCAAATCTAGTAATTTTACTTCTCTGATGCCCCCCCCCCCCGGCCCGCCCGCATTTTTTATTTTAATCTAACTGTATTCAATATGGTATATTTTCCTTCATTTAATTTTTTTTAGCTTAGATAAATCTAGTAATTTTACTTCTCTGCAGCCCCCCCCCCCCGGCCCGCCCGCATTTTTTATTTTAATCTAACTGTATTCAATATGGTATATTTTCCTTCATTTAATTTTTTTTAGCTTAGATAGACTGCCGATGATTGCTTCAAGCAATCTGCATACCGTAGACTGCCTGGCGTTGACTGCCAGACGTAGAACTGCCTGGCGTTGACTGCCTGACGTAGAACTGCCTGACGTAGAACTGCCTGACGTAGACTGCCTGCTGGCGTAGACTGCCTGGCGTTGACAGCGTGGCGTTGACTGCCTGACGTAGAATTGCCTGATGTAGACTGTCTGCTGGCGCAGACTGCCTGGCGTAGACTGCTTGACGTTCCTGTCGTAGACTGCCTGACGTTGACTGCCTGACGTAGACTCCTGCTGGCGTAGACTGCCTGCTGGCGTAGACTGCCTGCTGGCGTTGACTGCCTTATGTAGACTGCCTAGCGTAGACTGCCTGACGTAGACTGCATGATGTAGACTGCCTGCTGGCGATGACTGCCTGGCGTTGACTGCCTGACATTGACTGCCTGACGTGGAATGCCTGCTGGCGTTGACTGCCTGGCGTTGACTACCTGACGTAGACTGGCGTTGACTGCCTGACGTAGACTGCCTGACGTAGACTGCCTGCTGGCGTAGACTGCCTGCTGGCGTTGGCTGCCTGGCGTTGACTGCCTGGCGTTGACTGCCTGACGTAGCCTGCCTGGCACAGACAGCAAATATTTGTTTTTCACTTACACGTAAAGTTGACTGCTGAATTCCGACTTTGATTTCGGTTAAGATATTCATTTCCTAACATGTACTTCCTAACAGCAGACTAATTAGCCCGGCAGGCTGACCAATACATTCCAGGGTAACCAATCCATTCCACGCTGACTTATCCATTCCAGTGTGACCAATCTATTCCACGCTATGACCAATCCATTCCACGCTATGACCCATCCATTACAGGGTGACCAATCCATTTCAACCTGCTATTCACACATTGCTGGGAAACCGCTCTGGACACAATCGAACCCGCCTGCCTGGTTAATGTAGAGGCAGACGAGAAAGGTGAGACAGTGAATACGAAATACATTAACGTTGTGTGTGACAGTGGGAACTTTCAAATTATTGCTGCAAGTTTAAGCAACAACTTTTTTTTCTCTTTTTTTAATGAACCGTTTGGAAGGTGTCAACTGACCTTTAACCCCTGCCTGTTCAATACCGCGTTCGTCTTAACGCTCCTTAACAACGCGTCCAAACAAATGGCCGTGGCGTGGTCTGTTGGTCTTGTGGCTTACATGCAGCAGAACCGTTGTTAGTCATAGGCAAGCTGGGCCAAAGCCTAGGACCCACTGCCAAGGGGGCCACCGCATTAAGCCTACAACTTGCAAGTCCATATCTCTCAGAAGTACAAATTTTCTAAAATGGCGGAATTATCAATATGGTTAGTGGGTACACGCGAGTAAAGAGGAAACAGCGGCGAAGGCAGAATGGAGGTGCCGCTATGGTGGTGGTGTTTTCTCCTCAGTTACGGGGGAAGCTTCGCCCCCCCCCCCCCCCCCCCCCCNCCCCCGACCCCCTTTCATCCGGGCCCCCGACCTACCCTCTATGCCCATGGCCCCCAAAATCCTAATAATGGCTCTGCACGCTGGGCCGGCTCCACGTTCCGGCAAATGAACGATTTAATAAACTATGAAAAAAGCATTGCATGTGGGCGCCACGGAAGAAAAATAGAAAATTCAATAAAAAGATTTGCTGATCTAAAGGCTAGGGGAAAAAAATGTCATCGGTAGGCTAATTGTTCTTACTGTCCACATACAAGTTAAGAAAAACAATATTATTATTCATTGTTTATAGAAAAACAACCTAGGTAATAAAATCAATACCTAACTCATAGTTTTTCCTTGCAAAATTTTTTTAATGATTATTCTTAAAAGGGGCGCCAAAGTTAAGTTTGTCCGAGGCACCAGCCACCGTAGGACCGGCCTTGCTTACATGTTTTACATAGTTGGGCTGTTAAGTTGTTTTTTTTTTTTTTTAAATGTAAGCTTTAACGCTCTGGAAGATTGGTTACGGTGGGGTAGATGAGGGTTTGACCCTGGGGGGGGGGTGTTAAGGGTGAGCAGGTCAAAGGTGACCGTGTCATTATGGACAGCTGAAAAATTCTCGGGCTTTAGATAATTCAGCGGACATAACACTTTGACAGACTCTGTAGATCATTCAGCATGAGACATAACAATTTGACAGACTCTGTACAGAGACATATCGATTGCCCCCACGCCTTGATGCATTGTTTTTGTTACTCCCCTAGCAAGGGCACACAAAAGACTGGAGGGGGGGGGAGAGTAGCTAAAAGAAGGCATGGCATCATTCAGCGTATTCTTATCTGTCTTCATGTTCTCGGTGTGTCATTTAACGCAGGGGGTTAGGACCTTTTGTATACTATAGAGATAAAAAGAAAAACAAACTAATAAGTTTTAACTGGCTGCACCATGATGTTTTAACTGGCTGTACCATGATGTTTTAACTGGCTGCACCATGATGTTTTAACTGGCTGCACCATGATCTTTTAACTGGCTGCACCATGATGTTTGAGATTTAGATAAACTGAATAAAATCCAGTTGATGAGATAACAGCGGATGGAATTGGAAGATATTTTTTTTTTTTTGCC